CCCGATCAGTGGCCTTGCTGCTGGATGTAGTTTATAGTCATACCCAGGACTAGCAAATAAAGAGGTGGTTCCACGCTCTTCAAAACCTCCAATCTCCCGACAGGGTGGCCTTGCTGCTGGATGTAGTTTATAGTAATACCCAGGACTAGCAATTAAGAGGTGGTTCCACGCTCCTCAAAACCTCCAATGTGCCAATCAGAGGCCTTGCTGCCGGATGTAGTTTATAGTCATACCCAGGACTAGCAAATAAAGAGGTGGTTCCACGCTCCTCAAAACCTCCAATCTTCCGACCAGTGGCCTTGCAGCCGGATGTAGTTTATAGTCATACCCAGGACTAGCAAATAAAGAGGTGGTTCCACGCTCCTCAAAACCTCCAATCTCCCGACCAGTGGCCTTGGTGCCGGATGTAGTTTATAGTCATACCCAGGACTAGCAAATAAAGAGGTGGTTCCACGCTCCTCAAAACCTCCAATCTCCCGATCAGTGGCCTTGCTGCTGAATGTAGTTTATAGTCATACCCAGGACTAGCAAATAAAGAGGTGGTTCCACGCTCCTCAAAACCTCCAATCTCCCGACCAGTGGCCTTGCTGCCGGATGTAGTTTATAGTCATACCCAGGACTAGCAAATAAAGAGGTGGTTCCACGCTCCTCAAAACCTCCAATCTCCCGACCAGTGGCCTTGCTGCCGGATGTAGTTTATAGTCATACCCAGGACTAGCAATTAAGCGATGGTTCCACGCTCCTCAAAACCACCAATGTGCCAATCAGAGGCCTTGCTGCCGGATTTAGTTTATAGTCATACCCAGGACTAACAATTAAGAGGTGGTTCCACGCTCCTCAAAACCTCCAATCTCCCGACCAGTGGCCTTGCAGCCGGATATAGTTTATAGTCATACCCAGGACTAGCAAATAAAGAGGTGGTTCCACGCCCCTCAAAACCTCCAATCTCCCGACCAGTCGCCTTGCTGCCGGATGTAGTTTATAGTCATACCCAGGACTAGCAATTAAGAGGTGGTTCCACGCTCCTCAAAACCTCCAATCTCCCGACCAGTGGCCTTGCTGCTGGATGTAGTTTATAGTCATACCCAGGACTAGCAAATAAAGAGGTGGTTCCACGCTCCTCAAAACCTCCAGTCTCCCGACCAGTGGCCTTGGTGCCGGATGTAGTTTATAGTCATACCCAGGACTAGCAAATATAGAGGTGCTTCCACGCTCCTCAAAACCTCCAATCTCCCGACCAGTGGCCTTGCAGCCGGATGTAGTTTATAGTCATACCCAGGACTAGCAAATATAGAGGTGCTTCCACGCTCCTCAAAACCTCCAATCTCCCGATCAGGGCCCTTGCTGCCGGATGTAGTTTATAGTCATACCCAGGACTAGCAATTAAGATGTGGTTCCACGCTCCTCAAAACCTCCAATCTCCCGATCAGTGGCCTTGCTGCCGGATGTAGTTTATAGTCATACCCAGGACTAGCAATTAAGAGGTGGTTCCACGCTCCTCAAAACCTCCAATTTCCCGATCAGAGACCTTGCTGCCGGATGTAGTTTATAGTCATACCCAGGACTAACTAGGAATTAAGAGGTGGTGCCACGCTCCTCAAAACCTCGAATCACCCGATCAGAGACCTTGCTGCCGGATGTAGTTTATAGTCATACCCAGGACTAACTTGGAATTAAGAGGTGATTCCACGCTCCTCAAAACCTCGAATCACCCGATCAGAGACCTTAGTGCCGGATGTAGTTTATAGTCATACCCAGGACTAACTAGGAATTAAGAGGTGGTTCCACTCTCCTCAAAACCTCCAATGTCCCGATCAGAGACCTTGCTGCCGTATGTAGTTTACCCCGGACTAAAACTAAACAGGATCTACAGGGGAAAATAATTGTTATTTACTAATTGATTTATTACGATAATCCAGAATGACAATAAATTTGGATGGGATGTCGGAAGGACTTTTACATCTCAGTCTGAACAGAAGTAAAGAGTCTGTTTTTTATGTGCATTTTAAATATTTCTAGAAATTACAAACTGAATTCAAATAAATAACACACAGTCTTAATTGGAGAGAGCTCAGTAGAAATCGAATTCAGTTTTGTTGCAATGAGCTGTGTAATTACATTGTCAACAATTACTGACCATTTTGGTGTTATTTCCCGGTGATTCAACAACGCTAAAGTGTTGGGAAATATTTCAAATTTGATTTGTCTCCCCGCTTCGTTTGCTGCCATCAATGATGTACATTGAAGTGGTTTCCAGGCTTTCTTTTCGCAGCTGCTGACCAATGTCCAGTTAGCGTTTAACCATCTGCGGCTGAGATTGGAAACCTTCAATTATTGACGGCATTCTTCATTCGTCTTTGTCGTCTGCTTTTAAAATTTTGTAAGAGACGGCCTCTTTCTGGCTCTCCATATTGCTTCTCTTTCCATTGTATATCGTTCTGTGTGTTCCTCTCTTTTCATTATTGTCTTTATCACTCTCTTTTTCACCTATCTTTTTTGTTTAACTTACCCATTTCAATTCATCTCTTCTCAGTCTTTCTCCCCCTTTTTCTCTGGTATCTTTTATTTTTTGCACTTCCATAGTTTTTCATACAGTTTCTCTTTTCTCTTTTCTGTTTATGTTCTCTCCTTCTTTGAGTTAATTCTTTTTTTTAAATTTTCTTCTTAGTTATCATTTTCTTTTCCCTCCTTTTCTATCTCCTTTCTTTTCTTTTTGTTTCTTCTTTTTTCAGTTTAATTCTTTCAAGAGCGATTTTCATTCATACCTTTCTTCTCTTTGTCCTTTCTTTCTTCATCACTTTCTCCTACTCATACTTTTTTCTGCGGATTGTTTTTATCTATCTATCTATCTATCTATCTATCTATCTATCTATCTATCTATCTATCTATCTATCTTTCTTTCTTTCTTTCGTCATCTCCATCTCTTGCCCTTAGTTTTTATTCAGTGGATTTCTTTTCTCTATCTTTCATCTTTTATTCCTTCTTTCTTTCTTTCTTTCTTTATTTCTTTCTTTCATTCTTTCGTCATCGCCATCTCATGCTCTGAGTTTTAAATCAATGGATTTCTTTTCTCTTTTCTCTTTCATCTTTTATTCTTTCTTTCTTTTTATTCTATCTTTCACTTTTTCTTTCTTCCTTTCTTTCGCCATCTCCTTCTCTTGCTCTTAGTTTTTATTCAGTGGATTTCTTTTCTCTATCTTTCATCTTTTATTCTTTCTTTCTTTTTATTCTATCTTTCACTTTTTCTTTCTTTCTTTCTTTCGCCATCTCCTTCTCTTGCTCTTAGTTTTTATTCAGTGGATTTCTTTTCTCTATCTTTCTTTCTTTTTTCTTTCTATGTTACTTTCTAATCTTTCTTTCATTCTTTCTATATTTCCACTTTACTTTTCAATCATTTTTCTTCTTCCTTTCTTTCTTTCTTCTTCACTTCCCAATCTTTCTTTCCTTTTTTTTGTATTTAACTGTCTATTTTTTCTTTCTTTCTTTCTTTCTTTCTTAATTTATTTCATTTTACATTCCAATCTTTCTTTCATTCTTTCTATATTTCTTCTTCAATCATGTTCTTTATTTCTTCTTCAATCATGTTCTTTCTTTCGTTCTTTCTTTCTTTCTTTCTTTCTTTCTCCTTCACTTCCCAATCTTTCTTTCCTTTTTTTTGTATTTAACTGTCTATTTTTTCTTTCTTTCTTTCTTTCTTTCTTTCTTTCTTTCTTTCTTAATTTATTTCATTTTACATTCCAATCTTTCTTTCATTCTTTCTATATTTCTTCTTCAATCATGTTCTTTATTTCTTCTTCAATCATGTTCTTTCTTTCTTTCTTTCTTTCTTTCTTCATCTCCTTCTCCTGCTCTTAGTTTATATTCACTAGATTTATTTTCTCTATCTTTAATTCTTTATTCTTTCTTTCTGTCTTACTTTCTTCTACTCTGACTTTTTTTTGTGCATTGCTTTTCTCTGTTTTCTCTGTTTTCTCTTTTTTTTATGGTCGTCTGTTTTACAGTTTTTCGTTCTTTTTCTTTTCTTTTCACTTCTTCAGATATTTTTCTCTTTTATTTCTTGTTTCTTTTTCTTTGAATTTCATTTTTTCTTTTTCATTCTTCTTTTTTTTCTCTAATTTTCCCTTTCAATTTTCTTTCTTTCAGTCACCATTGTGTCTCTCGCTTTTATTTTTTCTGTTTTTTCATATCTACCGCTTCTAATTATTTTTATTTCTTTCTTTTTCAACATCTGCAGTTTCTTTTGATATTTTTCTTTCTTTCATTTTTCTTTCTTTCTTTCTTTCTTTCTTTCTTTCTTTCTTTCTTCATTGTCTCTTTTTTTATTTTTTCTCTTTTTCTGGTCTACCGCTTATCCTTAGCTTTCTTTCTTTCTTTTTCACATTTTGCTGTCTCTTTTTATATTTTCTTTCTTTCTTTCTTTCTTTCTTTCTTTCTTTCTTTCTTTCTTTCTTTCTTCATTGTCCCTCTCTCTTTTACTTTTTAATTTTTTTCTATTTTTCTACTGCTTTTCATTATTAGCTTTCTTTCTTCCTCTCTTTTTCCCTTTACTGCTGTCACTTTTTATATTTTTCTCTCTTTCTCTCTTTCTTTCTTTCTTTCTTTCTTTCTTTCTTTCTTTCGACATCTCTTTCTTTTATTCTTGATTTTTCTGTAGTTTGTCTTTCTTTCTTTCTTTCTTTCTTTCTTTCTTTCTTTCTACATCTCTTTCTCCTACTCTGACTATTTTTGTGGATTGTTTTCTCTTTGTTTCTTTCATTCTTTCTTTCGTTTTTCTTTCATTCTTTCATCATTGTCTCTCTCTGTCTCTCTCTCTTTTACTTTTTATTGTTTCTCTTTTCTAATCTACAGCTTATCGCTAACGTTCTTCCTTTTTTAACTTCTGTTGTGACTTTTTATATTTTCTTTCTTTCTTTCTTTCTTTCTTTTTTTCTTTCTTTCTTTCATTTCTTCCTCAGATTTTCTTTCTTTCATTTCATTTTCTCTTTCTTTTCTTGTGTTCTATGATCGCTTTTATTTTCCTTTTCCTTTTTCTCCTTTTTGATCACTTTTTATACTTTCCTTTCTTTTATATTCTCCTTTCTTTCTTTCTTTCTTTCTTTCTTTCTTTCTTTCTTTCTTTCTTGTCTCTTTTTTTATTTTTTCTCTTTTTCTGGTCTACCGCTTATCCTTAGCTTTCTTTCTTTCTTTTTCACCTTCTGCTGTCTCTTTTTATATTTTCTTTCTTTCTTTCTTTTTCTTTCTTTCTTTTCTTTCTCATTTTTTTTACTTTTTTCATTTGCACCATTCTTTTTTCTTGTTTCTTTTCTCTTTTTCTTTTGTCTTTTTTACATTCTTTTTTCTTTTTTTTCTTTTCTTTTTTTCTTTCTTTCTTTCTTTCTTTCTTTCTTTCTTTACATTTGCACCATTCTTTTTTTTTTATCCTGTGAATTCATTTTTTTTTTTTTTTCTTTTATATTCTTTCTTTTTTCTTTCTTTCTTTTTACTTTTCTTTTCTTTTTTCTTTCTTTTCTTTTTCTTTTATGTCATCTTTTCTTTCTCCTTTCTTTCTTATGTCTTTTTTATCCTGTGAATTCATTTTTTTCTTTCTTTCTTTCTTTTTCTTTCTTTCTTTTCTTTCTTTCTTTCTTTTTTCTTTCTTTCTTACATTTGCACCATTCTTTTTTTTTTTATCTCATTTTTTTATTCTTCTTTTTTTTCTTTTTTTTTTATTCTTTTTTTTACCTTCTTTCTTTCTTTCTTTCTTTCTTATGTCATCTTTCTTTCTCCTTTCTTTCTCCTTTACTTTTTTATCCTGTTTTTTGAATTTCTTTTTTTTCTTTCTTTCTTTTTTTCTTTCTTTCTTTCTTTTTTTTTCTTTTCCATTTTTCTCTTTCTTTTCTCTTCTGCTTAATTCATTCTTTCATTTCTTCTTCAAAGCTTTTTTCTTTCTTGATTAGCTTTTTTATTTTCTCTTTCTTTTTTTATCTTCCTACGAACTTTTTTATTCTTCTTTCTTTTTCTTTTTCTCCCCTATGTGTCACTGAGATCTTGTTAATTCACAAAGATTTATCTTTTAATATCTTCCTTTCTTTCTTTCTTTTCTTTCTTTTTTGTTTATTTCTCTTCCTGCTTTTCTTTCTTTACCATAATCTCAAATTCTCTTCTTTTTTAGTCCGTCATTCTCTTCTTTTCGTGTTTTTGAGACATTTCTTTCTCTCTTTCTTTCTCTTTTTTTCTTTTATAATCATTTGTTTTCTCTCTCTCAAACAAATAAGAATGGTAAATCTTTTTTTCCTTTCCATTTCTTTCTCAACCTCTTTTTTTTCTTTTCTCTTCTGCTTAAATTTTGAACCTATTCAATCTTTTTATCAAATTGCTCGAAATGACAGTTCTCCTGAAAGTTGTCAAATATCTGTCCACTATTTAAATTCACCCTATTGTTCAATTCAATGTCTCTGATTAGCTCTGGTGACAATAAGCTCTTCCATTGATGATAGCTGGTCAGTCATGATGGATTTTACACGCTTTTCCTGATATTCACGCGTCAATCCTTCATTGATCACAAGCTTGAGAATTATATTCTTTGCTTTTTCTTTTGTAAATGAAGAATTTTTACGCCGTCCAGAAGCTAAGCATAGTATAAAGAAACAGGAAAATTTCATTGGAAACAAAGAAAAGAGTGTGGAATGTAATATCAGTCCCCCTATGTGTCACTGAATGCTCGACAATCTCTTCACAGATGAAGAATTTATTACAACGTCTTGGTCTTTCAATCTGTCTATATCTCTGAGAAACAAAGAAATATTTATTACAACGTCTCGGTCTTTCAGTATCTGTCTAACTCTCTGAACTGTATTATGTACACTATTTTATTATTCAGTCCTCCTATTTATGGCAGTGAATGATGGACAATCTCTTCACAGATGAATTTAAGAACGTCTCGGTCTTTCAGCAGGAGAAACAAAAGAAAAGACTACTGAACCCTTTTGTAATTTATTAATCTCCTGATCCCGTCTCTTCTCTGAGATGAGGTATTATTATGTACTTTACATTGTCCTTATCTTTTGTTGCCAAATTACAACGTGGTCTTTCAGTATCTGTCTTCAGATGCATTATTTCAAATTCTCTTCTGTTGTTCTAGTCTGTAATAACTGGAGTGAATCGTCAAATCCTTCTAACTAAAGGCATATTAAACTTTTCGGACTATTGTCCTTTTTTTTTTTTATTACAACGTCTCGGTAACTGTCTAATCTCTGAGAGAGGTATAATCTTCTCTGGACTATTGTCCTAATCTTTGTTGCAAATTGTCTCGGGTTTTCTCTAAAATTAATATATTTACATTATTCGGACTTTGTCCTTACTTTGTCTCGATCAACTGCCGATGTCTATATCTCTGAGATGACTATAGCTGAAATTCGGACTGTCCTTATCTTTGTTTTAAATTACAACGTCTCGGTCTTTCAGTATAAGAATGGTAAATATTTACATTATTCTCAGCCTGTTTCTTTGGCCATTTTGAATGCATTTGATAATGTCTGGCATTCCCTGTCTTTTTCATAATTTGAATCTCTGAGATGAGGTATTATGTTACTATTTACATTTTCTGCATAAATATTTGAACCTATTCAATCTTTTATATCAAGATGAGGTATTATGCGAAATGACACTATTGTCCTGAAAACGTCTCGGTCTTTCAGTATCTGTCTATATCTCTGAGATGAGGTATTATGTACACTATTTACATTATTCGGAATATTGTCCTCATCTTTGTCGCCATATTTATTACAACGTCTCGGTCTTTCAGTATCTGTCTATATTTCTGAGATGAGGTATTATGTACACTATTTACATTATTCGGACTATTATCCTCATCTTTATTGCCATATTTATCACAACGTTTCGGCCTTTCAGTATCTGTCTATATTTCTGAGATGAGGTATTATGTACACTATTTACATTATTCGGACTATTGTCCTTATCTTTGTTGCCATATTTATTACAACGTCTCGGTCTTTCAGTATCTGTCTATATTTCTGAGATGAGGTATTATGTACACTATTTACATTATTCGGACTATTATCCTCATCTTTGTGCCATATTATCACAACGTCTCGGTCTTTCAGTATCTGTCTATATCTCTGAGATGAGGTATTATGTACACTATTTACATTATTCGGACTATTGTCCTTATCTTTGTTGCCATATTTATTACAACGTCTCGGTCTTTCAGTATCTGTCTATATCTCTGAGATGAGGTATTATGTACACTATTTACATTATTCGGACTATTGTCCTTATCTTTGTTGCCATATTTATTACAACGTTTCGGCCCTTCAGTATCTGTCTATATTTCTGAGATGAGGTATTATGTACATTATTTACATTATTCAGACTATTGTCCTCATCTTTGTCGCCATATTTATTACAACGTTTCGGCCTTTCAGTATCTGTCTATATTTCTGAGATGAGGTATTATGTACACTATTTACATTATTCAGACTATTGTCCTCATCTTTGTCGCCATATTTATTACAACGTCTCGGTCTTTCAGTATCTGTCTCTATATTTCTGAGATGAGGTATTATGTACACTATTTACATTATTCGGACTATTATCCTCATCTTTATTGCCATATTTATCACAACGTTTCGGCCTTTCAGTATCTGTCTATATTTCTGAGATGAGGTATTATGTACACTATTTACATTATTCAGACTATTGTCCTCATCTTTGTCGCCATATTTATTACAACGTCTCGGTCTTTCAGTATCTGTCTATATTTCTGAGATGAGGTATTATGTACACTATTTACATTATTCGGACTATTATCCTCATCTTTATTGCCATATTTATCACAACGTTTCGGCCTTTCAGTATCTGTCTATATTTCTGAGATGAGGTATTATGTACACTATTTACATTATTCAGACTATTGTCCTCATCTTTGTCGCCATATTTATTACAACGTCTCGGTCTTTCAGTATCTGTCTATATTTCTGAGATGAGGTATTATGTACATTATTTACATTATTCAGACTATTGTCCTCATCTTTGTCACCATATTTATCACAACGTTTCCTCATCTTTGGTCTTTCAGTATCTGTCTATATTTCTGAGATGAGGTATTATTTACATTATTTAGACTATTATTCGGACTATTGTCCTCATCTTTGTCGTCCATATTTATTACAACGTTTCGGCCCTTTTTGTTGCCAGTATCTGTCTATATTTCTGATATGAGGTATTATGTACACTATTTACATTATTCAGACTACTGTCCTCATCTTTGTCGCCATATTTATTACGTCTCGGTCTTTCACTGAGATTTCACTATTTACATTATTCGGACTATTATCCCCTCTTTATTGCCAGTATCTGTCTATATTTCTGATATGAGGTATTGTGTACACTCTTTACATTATTCGGACTATTGTCCTCATCTTTGTTGCCATATTTGTCACGTTTCGGTCGTTGTACGCTCCGTCATTCTTCAGGGGGTTGGAATGTCGAACTGAACTCTGTGCCACGTATCCTTAAGGCTTAAACACGCACTGTTTAACTAGCAGCGGCTGGAACCTTTCTACTCTTGACTAGTATGTCATTGCCATGCAAACAAAATCAGACTGAGATGAGTGTAAACAATACATTATCGCCATCGGCGCCATTATGTGAGGGACGCATGGTGAATGTGTTGTTTCTTCAGGGGTTGAGAATGTCTTTGTTTTTTTCTTAAACGAAATTTCTTTCCAATATTGCCATGGGACGAGTAAAACAATGGCGCTTCCAAATGCCGCAGCGTCTTGTAAGCCGGAAAAGACGGTATAAATTATTTGTCGAGATATGGCGTCTAAGATTCAGTCACTCTTCCACCGGCGTAAAGTTAACCCCCTGTGCTTTGCCTATAAATAATTTCTCTGCTGATATGAAGTAAAAAGATTATATTGAATCTCTTGTTAGGTCTTCTGCTAAGATTGTTAGTTCACTGTGTCACGAGAGACAATAAAGCCACAGTACCTAAAAATCAATAAGACAATAGTTTTCCATTTTTAAAAGATTACTGGGTAGTTAAAAAGAATTATATAAAAAAGCTGCTCACGTTATATTCCTCAAATAATTTTTACAAATTAATCCACCGTAGAAAACTTCTGTCTATATGTCAGCTCCTTAAATAAGCAGCTAGAAAAGCTTTTCTGCAATATTTAAAATAAATAATAATTAAATAATAATAAAAATAAATAAATAATTTAAAATAAATAATATTTGTTTCAAATCAGATTAATTAAATTTTAAATCAGCTAATATCCCTCAATAAAGTTTCAGAAAAGTATACTTTATTTTTGAAAGAATGTTTTAATAAAGAGTATTACATCTTTATGACGGATGGCTGAAAATGACACTAAAAAAAGGATTTTAGCAATTTTAAAATGAAAACTCCTTCCAGACAATTTAATTTAGTTTTGAAATGATATATATATATATATATATATATATATATATATATATATATATTTTCCTTATTGGAAATATTAAATTTGATCTATTAGCTTGAAATTAAAAAAGGAAATAAAAGTTTCAAGCAGGATTTTTCTTTATGTAAAAATTAATTTTATACCTTAGGTATCACGTTCATTTGTCGATACCTAATTTTATGTATATATAACCATCGGAAGTATTTTAAACGAATATTTTGCAAATGTTTTAATAGTCCCCCCACCACCCAGCACTGTATGTATATCCTGTTTTGGTTGTCTTCAACCCCCCTTTTTTTTTGTTATATTTACCATATAACAAAAAGTGGGGGTGCAACCAAAAAAAAAAACAGTATTCAAATATAGACAATAGTGTTACTATCGAAGTCATGCTCTAACATACAAAATTCTTGTTTATTCTTTCTTGGAATAACAGCGGAAACAATTTCGTCTGGCTAAAACAAAAGCAAGAATTTGCGACCAACTTCTGTCCATGGGCGAGGGAGCGGGCGGGAGAATGCGTCCCCCTGGCAATGGAAAACAGCTGTTAATCACTACTTTGTTATTTGCCAGCTGTGAGGGTGCAAAATAACACTTCCTCCCGCCAGTTATAAAAAAATAAAACTGAAAAATTAAAATACAAATCAACATGAAACATACAATGTTAATTTCTATGAGATATATATATATATATATATTTTTAAGCATTTCACCCAAAGCAAGACGGGAGTGCTACTGATTCGCAGTCGGTTACATAGAGTGTAGGTGAGAGAAAAAAAAACTGTGTATAGTGGGGATGAGGTAAAGATAAAAGATGAACAGGGTTCAGGACATCAGAAGATAGCGATTGACGTTGCATTTAAATTTTTGTAAGCCATCAGGGAAGCAAGTAAGCGGAAGGGAGTTCCATGGGCGGTAAGTGCGAGTAAAGAAGCTGTTGAAGTAGAAGTGGAAGTTACATTTAGCTATTTCAACAGTAAACGGGTGGGATCTAGATGCCAGTCGAGTAGCATACTTAAATTTATGTAGTCGGGGTTGGTTCCCGAAAAAAGCCAGTCAGAACAGTTGCCATGAAAATATTTTAGAAAAGACAGAGGGAAGCCACATTAAGTCTGTGTTATAGAGTAGTGACACAGCTTGTATTTCACTAAGTCGGTCCTAAAATAGTTTCGACGTACAAAACGTTAGGAATTTGATATAACAATTAATGACGCAGCAATCTAGCTGTGGTGGCTGATACTTTAATATCCGACTAACGGCCGTCCAACATCGACTGACTCACCAACTCACTGAGCAACTTCACTGAGCCACTGCTACTAATACTTCTACTTATTATAGGTGGGAGAATCTGTTAACTATAGAATAGGTGTGTTCCACTATAACAGTCTGTGAGAAAGTGACTGAATTTGAGATGCCAAATCAGGATATATATATATATATATATATATATATATATATATATATATTTCTGTTGACCATAATTGTTATAATTACCATTGCCATTATCGTCATATTTTATTTCTTTTTGTCATGATATTTTCTTTTTTATCATCATTAAGACTAAATTTACCGTTAACACATCAATAACTATTATTAATATATCAAAAATAATATCAGAGTTATTATTATTATTATTACTATCAACATACTCACAATCGTCAATGATACACAAGTAGTTAGCGTTGAAAATAAAAACATCATCATCACCATGTCCACAAAGAGAACCCAACCTAAACAAAGTGGTGGTGAAAAACCCAGACCAGGTATGTATCTATGTGTGAGGAAGTGTAAGTTTGTCTCACGGCGCAGGCGGCCTATCTGAAAAGCGAACACCCCTACCTGCTCCTTGTTTATTATACCGAAACGTCAGACGTTGACATATTAACATTAAAACAGCATAATTGTATATAAGGATTTTTTTTCCGTATA